TAAAATTACAAGTCAACACATAATTTAAATCAAACTCCAGTGAAGCTCAACTTATCCACTCTTCCACTCACAGTGGATGTGTTATTGGAGAGGGTGTGGAATAGCACTTGCATATAGCTTCCTTAAAAATAACTGGCATAATCCTTTTGTAAGGAATCTCCTTATGTTTGGGTGGGGTTTTTTTGTTTAGTCATGTAAGTAAACCTCTGGAAGATCATAAGTGCCCAGCAGACAGTAGCCTTCAGGCTTTCTATTTTATCTTCCACCAGCCTTGCATTTCCTGGAGCATAAATGTTCCTTAGGATAGCTGACTGTAAGACTTGTTGCTTTTGCCATAAGAGTGCCATAGTAATACATAGGCATTGTATTTTTCACATTGTCTTTCTGCAGTTGATTTGATCTCTTTAACGTGTAGACAGCTGCCCAGTTTGCAAAGAAAATGTTTGATTCCAGTGAGTTCTTACAGAACTAGTTCCTACTAATTATTTGTTTATTATATGTTTTGGGTAGCAGCTGGATGAATTCTTCATAAAACCAGCACAGGTTATGCCTTACATATTCCTTCTCCCTGGGAAAGTGTGATAGTAACAGTTTTGATCAAATCAAGTACTGAGTATTTTGGATACCTAAATACAGTTTGTGGTCTTAACTGGAGAATGTGTTGTCATTCACTGCTTCTTACCCTGCTCTTTTCTTACAGCCACACTGTGTGATGTTGCATAGTTATCAATCTATAACTCAAAGTTTGTTATATTAGAGTGAAGAATATATAGCAGGTGTATATTGTATGAGATTTCTGGCAAGCTGCTGTATGACTGCAAATTTCTATGGGTTTTTTTCCAAAGTGTTTTATGTTTTAGCCATATTTTCTCTTTCATTGTTCGTTCTTCCTTTTTTTTTGAAGTTTTAGAAATGAGGTCATTTTAGTAAGTAGTTACCTGAGAAAGCCTTGGAGAGATAGAGGCAGTCAGCCAGCTGCTGTGCAGGTATGGTATGTGCTGCAGCTGGGGGGCAGGTGAGCAGCCCCCTCTCCATGCACAAAAATCTAGGCTCCAGTTACATAGGACAGGGAGAGGGATGCTCCTGGGTGCTGCCTGCTGGGTTTAAGGCCAGCCTGTGCACTCATTCCTTAATGCCTTCCTTCAGCATGATGGAAAACAGTGAGAGGGAAGAGAATCACCCTGAGCCTGCAGCCATGTGGAAAGCCAGTCAACTGAAGCCTTGATTCAGCCTTGCAGCTGACTGGGCCTTTTCTCTCCTGCCTTTTTGGCTGCAGAAAAGAAATGGAGGGCTGGAGAATAATCAGTAGTAATCTCCTCAGCCAGCCAGCCATCTCCTCCTATTGACCTTGAAGTAATGAAAAAGGAGTAGATTCTGCTGCATGTTACCTCTCGTAAATCTACGTGGCTTTGCCTGTTTGGAAGTCTGGACCATGGGGAAAATGACAGGATGTGTTTTATTTTCGCTCGTAATTCACATAGGTCTTTGTCCCAAAGTGTTTGCTCTGTGGAGTTTTTTTTGCTGTGTACTTCATTTTACGCAGCAGTAATTTCAATTCAGATTCTCATTCCCTTTTGTTGACTTTAATTTTTAATATGAGAATAGCTGTATTTCCTGAACTGGCAATAAATTGATTTGATATTCACATTTTATAGATGTAATAGATTTCCATTAGTCAATACAGCGGAGTTACACCAGTGCAGAACTGGGTCTATGAAAAACAAAAAAACAAACAAACAAAACCAAACAACCCACCAAAAATTTTTTTAAAAAGCACAAAAACCAACCTACAAACAAACCCAAAATGCATATCCAGTGCTTTAAGGAAAGGAAATGCATTATATAGCTGTAAAAGCAAAAAGCCTTTTGTTTTTTCACTCCCTGTGTCCCCCAGCCAGGATCTCCTACAGTGCGTGTTCCCTGGAGCCCAGAGACAAAACCAAGCTTACATTTCCCTGTGGGATGGCTCAGACATGTCCCAGTCCTTGTCACTGAACTCTGCTGTATCTCCAAGGTCACTTCATGCTCTCAGACAAGGAGATACAGGATATTTGTCAATACTGCCTTTCTCCTGCAGGCAAAATGCAAGTTTTTGTCATTATGGTAAAACTTATGTGTTCATCAGAGAACTGTTTCAGAGACTCATTTGAGATGGTGTCATGAGCTCTCGTAGGAATTGAAGCCCCAACAATCCCATCACACCTGGGGTTTTGCAACAAAAATGAGTGAAATCTTATTTTTTTCTCATGTAAACTGAAGACAGTGAAGGAACAGGAAAGAGAAAGGGAAAGGGAAAGGCACAACAACAAAACAAAAAAACCAAACCAAACAAAAAAACACACACAGAACAACACTAAACTCCCCCAGGACTGATTCTTGTTTTTATTATACAGGCAAAATGAAAACTGGCCAAGTTTGTAGATACACTTTAAAAAAAAAAATCAAAACACAACCCTGAAATTTGGGAGTGTACTTTTGGATGTAGAATGACCATACACAGAGTAACCACAAAGTTGTCTTTGGCAATTTGTTCATTCCCCTCCCACTGAGGTGTAATTCATTAGGGCAATTTCTTGTTAAGCGTTAGCTCAGAAACTGGGATGAATCTGAGACAGAAAATAATTCAGTGAACCTAATGATGTAGTAGTCCCAACTAGTGTGGCCAACAGATAAAGAATAGTAACAAGGTGTTTTAGTACTTAGCTAAGATGCCAAGACATGATGTCATGCAATCAGTGACAGGATTTGGTCAATGCAAAATGAGAGAGTTCTGTCTTTTAATCGTAGTGTGTGCAATAACAAAAGATCAGGAAAGACTATATTTAAAAACACAGGAAATGTACTGAGTCCTCTAGAAGAGTTCATTGCATTGTTGTTTTTCAGGTCTCAAGTGAGATGATGGATGCACTGGTACTGAGCTCCCCAGGCTCCTTTCCTTCTTCCCCATGGGGCATTAACCTGTGAAATGGCAGCAGAGCTCTCCACAATAAATGGCACTGTGGTGGAGAGATCTCACAGTTTGCTTGTATTCCCACGATGGAAACATTACACAAGTGTTTGGAGTGAAGCTGAAGCATAAGACACTCAGTCACTGAACATGCAGCAGAACAGGTTGATTCATAAAGAAATACAGCCTCCTCTGCCCGGGGGCTATAAATCTGGCTCTCTGGAGGACCTAGGATGGTGGTCATGCATTTTTCCTCTTTTGAGGCAAATTAGCCTGTCAAAGCTTGCCTTTGGCCAGAGTAGCTGAGCTGTGTTTTATTCCTTGGGGAATTAGGGAGGCCAGAGGGAGGAAGCTGCCTGGCCCTGTGTTCCCTGCTGGGAAGGTGATGGCTCACCATGGTGTGCTCTGATCTGGATATGCAGTAAGCAGGTTTTATTCATCTGCCAAACAACTCTGGCTCCAAACCATGTATTTTCATCAGTTCACCATGTTGAATGATGTTGGTTGTAGTAAGATGAGTGCCAGAGCTACCTTCAAGGTGAAATCATCCAAGGGGCTTACAGGATGAAACTGCCCCCTTTTAGCAACAGGTTTCAGCTCACATACCCTAAATTGAGCCCCTTTCCATAGGTTATTGTGCTTGGACTATTTCTGCTACTCAAGCCAGTGGTTTTTTGATGTTGTTTGTTGTTGGGGTTTTTTTGTCTATGCAAAGCCATGTTTGAAGGCTACCTCATGGGGTCAGATTAACCACCAGCTTTAACAAACTCTGCTGACTTGCCCCAGCTAAAATTTTCCTCAAAAATCCCTCAAAATCTAGCATCTCTTACAGAAGTTTTAATGCTTAAAGGCTTTTAGCCAACAAACTGCTGAGCTAAGTTCAACTCCAGGTATGTTTCAGAGATTGTAATATCATCTTTCATCACTTTGGGTACTAATATAGCAGGGCCATCCTCCACCTCTGAAGTTAAGATATTGAAAGGGCTTAGGATGTTCTTAAGCCCAAATGCTACTTTTAGAATGCCTTGACTTAGTGAAAATACGGTGAGATATTCAGGGCTTCTAACTGTCATCTTAGGAAGATTTGGGGTATGAATCCAAAATGATGTAGATTGATTGAAACTGGTCCTGCTTTAAACCTGCCCCACAGTCACAGCCTATACCCTGAGCCAGTGCTGGCACTGGGCCCAGGAAGCCCCTCCTGGCTCAAGTGCCGAAACAGAAGATGAAGCAGAATGAAAAGCAGCATTACTCTGTTGAGCCTGCTCTCCAGACATTTCCTTCATGAGGGAGATGGGGAGAGTCCTGAAGGAACAGTGAGAAGCTGGGGTACCTCTGATCTAAAGTGTCTTAAGATATTGTGCTGGATATTCTGTAACTTCAGTCTGTTAAACTATTTACATGTTTAAAAATATGCAGATGCTGGTGTCTTATGCTAGATCAGGATTTTAATTATGTATAGTTTGAGATAATTTGGTAGCATTAGCGTCATATCTCAACCTGTTAATTCTAACTACTAAATTAGGATTCACCAGTAATCCATGTATGTTTAGTTGACCTATCTGACTTTGTTCATTACATTAAGTAATCAGACATGAAAATGTTGCAATTAATTCTTCTCCTGTATTCTGGTTTTCTGTGGGAGAGGTGTGAGTTCAACACATTCATTATGTCCTTGCTTTTTGCTGTGTGGTTTTTCCCTGTAGATATGAATGGATAAATGTTCTGGATAAATATTGTGGAGAACAATTAAGTCCCCAAAGTGTCTTGATTTTATGAATGAGTTTATTCTTAGGTTGCTGTGCTAACCTGTATTTTATAGCTTTTACTTACCCTTTCCTGTATTTTAGAAGCATGCACTTAAAAATGAACTGAAAAAGTACCAGGCTTCACATTTTTAACAGAAGCAAACCAACAAAAGTGTTGAAGAGCACATCTGTGGTTGAGTCTATGAAGAACAACCAGCCTTTCTCTTAATCTTAAGATTTACATGGATGGAGTCATTATCTGCATTCAGGTGCAGGAGTACAACTTCATTTTATTGTTCCTGCAGATGAGCATCATGCCAGGACTGCCCACGAGGCCTTGCTTTTATGACATTGACCTCAACCCCATCACAGAAGAAGTTAAAGGATTGTTTTGAGAGTGATGTCCAAATTCAGGTTGGTTCACAGTCTTTGTTTTCTCATTCCAGCTTAGAGGATGCTTGTCTCTACTATGTGCATAATAGAGGTTGTCAGAAGTTTATCTAAACTCTAGGTTTGTTGAAGACTTTACACAATTTGGGGGGACTTGGGGGAATATTTCACAATGTACACTTTATCATATGGGTTTCTTGTTTGCTGAATGATGGCCAGCACTTTGCTGGTGTACACTGGTGGTGCACGTTGATGGTGCCTTTTGGATTTCCTGGCTCTGTCAATTTGTCATGAGGAGGAGTTGGCTCTGCAGTTATACTGCTCTTGGCTATGGAAAAAGTCAGTCTGAAGAAATCACATAATGTTACTTGCCTCAAAAGAAATCATCTAGTTCATCTTTGATGCTCCTCTCGTGTGGCAGCGTGTTCCTGTCATTACCTAGACATCAGGGGAGATGTTTCTCAGCTTTGCTTTCATTTGTTTCTGTTTTGTTTTGTGGGGTTTTTTCCTAATTTCTGTCATCTCTCACAATCGTAACAAGCATCTCAGGAACACAGATCTGTCCTCTTATCCTCAGTTTTTCATGCTGGGTTTTCTCCCTTTTCCTTGAAGGTTGCAGTTTCCCCCCACCTCCTCCCATTGTCTAAGCACTTAATTTTCTTGGTGTCCTGCTTTAATTTTGTGTGGCACACGCACCTCACTTAAAAATTCAAGTTGTTATGAAAATATGACAAGCTACTCCATTTTAACCTTGTAACATAATAAGTGGAGTCAAAAAAGATGCAACCCTGACTGAAACAAACCATGTGCATCTGGGCAATGGGACTCTTAACTCTCACTGTTCCCTCAATAAATCAGTGTGGAGAATAAAATGGTTACTTCTACACAGCACAACACTATTACTATGAGCTAGTAGGACTGTGATGGGACCTCAGATCAGCCACAGCTTTCAGGTGAACATGCCAAGGCACTTTAGCCCTGCCCTAGCAATTTGTGCCCACTCTGGTTTAATAGAACCAGCTTTCATCTTCATTTCTGTGTTTTGACAAGGGGAGAGGTTTGCACAACCCAGCAAGATTACTGCTCAGACCAGATTAATTGTTCACTCACCCATACCTGAATGTCACAGCATTCACATAACACCTAGTGAGAGCAGATTCTGCCATTTTGCATGTACCAGTCGAGACACGTAAAAAGCAGTTAGCTTGAAGTTAACCAGCTTGCACAGGTAATTGCTAGCTCATATGCAAACCATCACAGACTGTTCTGTTACTGGGTGATGTTAAGCATATAACTTCTTTGCAAATATCCCATTTTTGTTACTGATATGCATTATATATCTGATGGCTTCATGCATACATTTGACTCATCATGTAATTGCTTCTGAATAATTTGAAATGACTATAGCCTCCTAATGTAACATCTATATGCAGATTCACAAAGCCTGCTTAATCAGGTGTTTCCTGCCCAGTCCTATAAAAATCCATCCAAGCCATGGAATACTGAGTTTTGAAGAACAACAATACCTAGGCAGATTAAATATTCTATTCCAACTATGAAAGTCTTTCATTTGAAATTGTGCATGAAATTAAAATGTTAAATTTGACTTTCAGTCAATGATGGTGTTTTCCTAGATGTAAAAAGAAATGCTAACAAAGTCACAAAAGTTTAATAGTCAGGTAGGAAATAGTGTATATATCCAGCTGTTTATAGATTATTTTAGCTTCATTATGCAGGTATTTTTTGCGTCAGACAGATGAATGACTCACTAAGTTTAAGCGTTTTAAAGGAAAACAGTTTGATCATATATATTTTTCATCAATATAGGCACATCTTCTCCTGTGTTCCTATCTCTAACAATCTGAATAAATGGCTCAAGAGTATTGTAATACCTAGGGAGCACTACAGAAGGTAGTCAGTGTTCATCAGCTCTAAAATTCATCCGGTTCATGTGCTAGGATTTGTACATGTCTCATTTTGGATAAAGAAAGAAACAATATTCCCATATGAACTTTACTCCTAACTTTCTGTAAAGAAGTTTAGTAGCATTCTTTTGCTTTCACACATTCACTGAAGTGAAACCACATTGTAACTGATACTACACTTCGAGGTGTTCGTGGGTTTGTTTCTATGATGGCAGATTGAGGGGGGGTTGGGTTTTTTTAATTTGGTTTAAATTCTTTTCGTAGTGTTTTAATGTACAATGTAAAATTTCTAGTAATATGATACTGTGCCAACTCATTAGGACTGATTCAAATCTTCAAGATATGGTAATTGAAAAATATTTAGAGAGTTTTGGAAGAGCTGCAGATGTTTCATTATAAACATGCGTGCAGAGCTGAGAACAGTTGTTTCAGTGTGCAGTTAGAGACTTGAGAGACACAGACAAAACTTCCTGCTCCTAAAAAAGCTGTTTGGGGCTCCTACTGATCTAAAACATTGGATGTCATTAGCCTCTCTGATTTTTCTCCACCACTTCACTGTGTTAATGGAGCAGATGATAGTTTTCACAAAAGTTTGCACCCTACCCAGTCATTAGAATATACTCTAACAAGTCATACAAGCAAAATCTTTTTTCAAAAAGTCAACTCTGTTTCTTTTTGTTGACAACTAGCTAATACATGGAACACACAGTATTACAATCTCTGTGTAGGAGTAATGTGCTCTATTAAAAAATCAAAACATTAGCATCTGGAAATGAATCCAAAGGAATCTGGCTAGTTCTTCATCACTGGTCACTACTCCATTTAAATTATACAGCCCAGTTCCTTCACTAAGGAAGTCAAAATTGTTTCCTTAGGAGCTATCTGTAGATTGTACCAGTCAGAGTAAGACTTAGATGGAGATGAGTTTGCCAGTAGGAGGACTTTTTTTTTTTAAATCTTGTTTGTACAGTGAGGAGAATGTATGAACCTGACCCACTCTGCAAAAGGAAAGTCTGTTGTGGGTTGTAAGGATCCCTCTAATTCAATCAGTGACAGTGGGTGCCTGCTCTTGCTATACCAGTTTGGCTTTGAGTATCTGGGTCAATAGTGGGGGTGGTTGTTTTCCTCAGTTGGTTGTCACGTAGCAAGGCCGTGGCTGTCCACAGTTGCAGACATATTCTTGTGCTCATCTCCTCTTCAAAACTGGTAGAACATCACTCTGATTGTTTTACACAGCACAGGTACTTTGCCACCCTCAAAGCTTTTCTGAATGTAAGAGGAATCCCAGAGCTCTGACTGTGAGCATCTTCACAGCTGTAAAGCAACCTATGAGGGTAGAACACCAAAACAGATGTCCTAAGATTGCCAACTGTTAGATGTTTTCATCTTAATTAATTTAGAAATGGATAGAAGGTGTTTGAAACTTTTCCTTTGCATCCACAAAACTGATCCTATGAAATAAATACTGTCTTCTTCTAGTCTCATTTCACAGAATTTGGTTTCAATCAGCAGAAATTACTGCAATAATGGACAGTCTAAAGTCTATGTAATATGGGAATAATACTACAGATTCTTGTTTCTCACCTAGCAGGGTTACACTGATAAGAAATAGGAGGTGTATGTGGCATTACTGTACATTTTTGTTTATTACGGTTAACAGCAAAAAATATCCAATTTCACTAAAACACTGCTTTTAGGTTCTGATGTTTCTATTATTTCTTTTTCTTTAAAGAAAGCAAAGATTTCTTGTTTTAATTTATACATTCTTTCTCATTTCAGAAGCCTGAAAATTAAGAACTGCAACTGTCCTGTTTCCTGGAAGTAGGAGACAAAAATGAATTCAAAATATTCCTGTTATGTGTCTCTGGAGAAAAGTCAAGATAGACCAAAGAGCAAAAGTTTACTCTTTCTTCAAACTAGTTTTTATGATGAAATATAGCTGTAAGGAAGAAGAAAGGAAAAGAGGAAAAAAAAAAGAGAGAAAAAGAAAGCTAAAGCTTTTCTTGCTGTAGTGCAGAAAGCTCTCTACAAAGTCTTTGTGGATAAAACAACATTGAAAAACAGTTTTCACCTTAGAGTTTTCATCTTTTCTCAAAGGAGTTTACAGAGGTACTTCCCTTATCTTGGCCATCTAAAAACTTGTGTTAGCATGATTATACTGTGTGATCGAGCCTGTTTCTCTCTGAAAAATACACTTCTGCTCCTGGCATTCAGAAGCTGAAACTACACACAGATTAACTGCACATTTTTGAGTTATCATCAGGCGTTGCTCTGGATGCATTTGGGCAACAGCCAAGCTTCAAGCAAGGAAGATATTAAGCAGAGAATGAACAGAACACGTATTTTGTACAAGGTTTTTAATAGATAATTTGTTTCCTTGTTGGGCAAAGATCTTTTGAAACACTGAGGCCATAGCTGTCTGCTATCCATAGGTCTCTGTTTATCCAAAGTGTATGTTACAGGCTGTGATTTTGTATTTGTTGAGGTGAAGGCACTGCTCCTTCTGAAGCCCTGCTTTGCTCCTGTTTGTGGCTAATGAAGCCTCCTGCTATGCTGGCTCCCAACTTGGAGTTTTTCTTGTCCTGTCCCTGGCAGTACACCACATTCACCAACAACAGGGCAATGTCCACCAAGCAAGGATGCGACATGGCAGAGCTTTGCTCTGCTTCTTTTTGCCATTTTTTACTTGTAAAACAGCAGTGTGTTTTCTATTTGAAGGAGGTACTCAAACATGTTAAATCCTAACTTTAATTTACCCTCAGTAATTTACCTGCAGCAAAACAAGCCTCAGGCACAGGATATTGCATTTGGCTTTTTAGGCTGCTTCTCCTCAGGAAGCTGTCGCTGACTGACTGTTGGTTCCTTCAATAACAAAAAATGCTACAGAACAATAGGTTGAATCTAAACAATAGGCCATTGTTTTTTTTAGGTAAAAAGCAGTGAAATAATGATGAGAGAGTTTATTTTCCTGGTGACGTTTTCCATCCTGTCGCTTTGCTCTGCTTACGCACATCTGTATGTTATGGGCTCCTGCAATGTAGTTTTGGTTCCCTTCTGTGCAGCCACATTTGGAGACTTAA